AGCAAAAATTAATATAAAACCCTGTCTTATTTTCAGGGAAACATGGTAATTTAAATCTACTACTGACCACCCCATCAAGGAGATCTGGATAAAACCTGTGAAAAATGAATTGGGGAAAAAATTCAAAGAGACACAATGTAGTAGCAATGGGAGATTTCAACTATCCTGATATATGTTGGGAGGCAAATTGTCTCAAATTATGGCCCTTCCAAGAAATTGCTGGCTTGTGCTGTTGATGATTTTCTCCTACAAAAAGTGGAGGAAGAAACTACAGGATTAGCTATCCTGGACTTGGTTCTAACCTATAGAGATAATTCTGTGGAAGAAGTGGCAGCAAGAATTTTGGGGGAAAGTGACCATGTTCTATTTGAGTTCTGGACATCACACTTCAAGAAGGATGCTGACAAGTTGGAACAAGTACACAAAGACAATTAGGGGATTGGAAACCAAGCCCTGTGAGGAAAGACTGAAAGTTCTAGACATGTTTAGCCTTGGGAAAAGAAGACTAAGGGGAGATATGGTAGCAATTTTCAAATACATGAAATATTGTCCTAAAAAGGATCTGTTCTTGATCATGCCAGAGTGTAGGACACATAACAATGGGCTCAAGTTACAGGAAGCCAGATTTCAGCTGAATATCAGGAAAAAGTCCTAACTGTTAAAGGAGTACAATGGAACCAATTACCTCGGGAGATGGTGAGCGCTCCAATGCTGGAGGCATTCAAAAGAAAACTAGACAACCATCTGTCAGATGTACTTTGATTTGGATTCTTGTATTGAGCTGGAGGTTGGACTCAATGGTCATACAGGAACCTTACAAACACCATTATTCAATAATTCTACAATTCTTTGACATTTTGTGGCAGTGTATCTTTATTGAAATGGATTTCATTAGCTACTTTGTAGACCTTTTGGTGAAAAAAAATACAGTGGTGCCTCACTTGACGAGGATAATTCGTTCTGTTCAAATCGCAGTTAAGCAAAATCCTCGTCAAGCGAAATGAAAAAGCCCATTAAAATGCATTGAAAACTGGTTCAATGTGTTCCAATGGGCAAAATACCTCAGTGTCCAGCGAAGATCCTCCATACGGTGGCCATTTTCTGGTGCCTGTAATGCGATGAATCCATCCTAAAGCACAGTGGGGAGCCATTTTGCACAGCAGGCGTCCACTTTGAAACCCGACGATCAGCTGTTTTTGATCGTTGTTAAGTGAAAAATCAGTTCCCGAAGCAGGGAACCGATCGTCCTAAAAAGGAAAACCCCCATTGAATCATCGTTTAGCAATTGCAGTAGCGATCACAAAAAACTAATCGTCAAGCAAATTCCTCATCTAACGAGGTAATTGTCAAGCGAGGCACCACTGTACAGTGTATTGTGTATACAGTATATCTGTACAGTGTATACAGATAATTGCCATATTTTTCGGTGTATAAAATGACCCGATGTATAAGACGACCCCCACTTTTCGAACCCCAAACAAGAAAATTTGATTGCTGTTTTTCCTCTCCACTTTCTAAGTCCTGCGAAAGCAGGATCAAAGGGCTGCCGAAGTGGAGGGGGAAAGCAGCAATCTTAGGAAGTGGAGGGGTAAAGCAGTGATCAAAGGGCTGTGATCCTGCAGTGCTTTGATCCCTCCCCCTTACTAAGACGACCCTCAATTTTAGTCTAAAGCTTTTAGCTAAAAATATCATCCTATACATGGAAAACTACGGTAAGTATCTTTTTCTAAGTAATCCCCATCACTGCATCATAGGCTAGATCTGGAGTTGCAAATGTGGTGCCCATGGGAGTCATGGCATCCTTATAATTATCCCTTGGTGCCTCTCCCTCTCAATTCTTTATATTTTATGACTGGACAACAGAGTACAACCTATCCCACTCTCCTTCCTTTCCTCAGAATTCCTTTGAACCTTAGACCTAAATCTACAGACATTCTTCTAAAGGCAAAGACAGGTATGACTAATGTTCTCCTTTCCAGCCACCAATCCTAAATTTTTAAAGTAGGGGATACAGGAAAAAAGTTGACATCCAATAAACTTAGTAGAATAGTGAAGACAATAGGGAGCGGCTTGACCTGTGGGGGAAAGTGTGTGTCTGTGTGAGAGAGTTATAGACACATAGTACTGCTTGGGAATATACTTTGCTGTTCTCCTGCAGCTGTAGCATTAATAGTTTCAAGTAGCCAGCCTACTCTAAAAATTTTATCTGGAAATTTCTCCCATACCTTCCTTGCCACCCCATGAAATCAGCATCCCACACTAGTGTATACTCTCTGGGGAAAACGTCTTTTGTCCATGCTGTCAACAGCATAACTGGTGCCAGGGGATGACTTCATTCAGCTCCTATTGAGGCCCATGACTCAGAGGAGGCCTACTGCTAACTGAAAGCTTGCTGGAGGTGTTCCCACTTCATGTGCCACTACCATCTGCTTATGAAGTCTTTCCCTTAACTATGAGACAGAGTGGCACAAGTAGTGCAGCAAGCAGGAAGAAGGATTAGCCTCCACCACCTGTTCACTTGCCTACTCTTTCTCTCTGGGCATCAGTAGTGATTGGATCCCTAGGAAATACGAGAATAAATGGGAAGGGTGCGGTCCACTATGGACATTTTTGTGAGATTCTCACCCAATACCCAGGAACAGCACTATTTTGCAATACAGTTAGCTTTGGGATTGAATGGGAATCTATGCTTAAAGCAAGAATGCAATCACTTAGGCTCTCTTTTTCTACTTCAGAGTCTGTGCTACTGTAGCTGTACTTTGGAGAAGTACACAAGCTATTCTAGGTTTATCCAAATCAATTTGTTATAAAGGCCAGGGAGTGGAGTACTGAGTTATATCAATGCAACAAATAGTTGTGATTTGAGTCGTTACTGTTCAGGTTCTTCTTATAATCCTTTGCCCGGTAGCATTCTAATTATTTTCATATTTATAAATGTATATATTATTTTTCTACCAAAAGCTCTTCATGCAGTTAACTTTTTAAAAGAGAGTAATTCTGCCCCACCCTGAAACAAAAAGTAACACACAGTAAAAAAAGCAGACTTCAACCAGGTGGAGGACAGCATTAGGTCCCTGGTGTGGGTTTTTCATCTTAGTTCAAACACTGGCAGTATCCTTACTACCTCAGTTCAGTAGTTTCTTGTCTTAGTGCCTGGCCAAAACTCCTGGAGATATATAGAGGACCATATACTGAGGAGTAACTTTGAATGACATGCATGGACTCATTGGTAATTTGGCTCTTTTACCCTGGAAAGACATTGGTAAAACGGTGGGGCTTCCACACTCCATTGCAGAACACCAGCTCCAAAATTGACAAGTGATTTCTATAGACCTCAGAAAACTAAATACTGTTTCCATTCCTGTACCAAGCTATCTTCAAGCTTGTGAAATATGAACACTGCTTAAATAATGTGTTCAGAAGCAGTGCTACTCAGCTTTTCGGTCAAGTTATTTAAGCACAAATCTTTCACATCAGAATTTAGTCATTTTTGTATTATAGGACTCCCCATTTATTCGTTGCAATATTTTTCTATTTATTTTGCTATTTTCACACACTACAAGGTTTGTAAAGACTTAAGAAAATAAGTTTTAATCCATTTACATTTGCTGAATCAGTTATTGCAGCGTGACAGTATATTCCACTGTGCTTTTCTTGAAGATGGATCTCTCAGATGAAGACTGAAGAATCTTTTAATTCACTTGCAAAATTCTCTCTTGTGGAACTGAATTAGAATGCTATGCTGCCATCTGGCGGAGGCATCAATGATTTCCTACATAAGAACAGCACTAAGGGCCCATCTAGTCCAGCTTCCTGTATCTCAGAGTAGCCCCACAGATGCCTCTGGGAGCACACAAGAGAACTAGATACCTGTCTCCTGATACTCCTCGCTTGCATCTGGCATTTTGAGATACCACCCTTTTAAGCCTGGAGATTATACATCCCCATCATGGCTTGTAACCTGCAATGGACTTTTCCTCCAGAAATCTGTCCAATAATCTTTTTATAGAATCATAGAAAAGTGAAGTTGGAAGGGGCCTACAAGGCCATCATGTCCAAACACCTGGTTAATGCAGGAGTACAATCAAAGCATATTGGCCTAAGTTTTTATTGAAAATCTCCTGTCTTGAAGCACTCACCAACTTCCGAGGTAACTGATTCTACTGTTGTACTGCTCTAATAGGAAGTTTTTCCTGATATTCAACCAAAATCTGGCTTCCTTTAACTTGAGCCCATTGTTGCGTGTCCTGCACTCTGGGATGATGAAGAACAGATCCTGCCCATCCTCTGTATTTTCAAATATTTGAAAATGCTATCATATTACCCCTCAGTCTTCTTTTCTCAGGGCATCATTTAAAGGCATCTAGGCCAAATGCCATCACCACATCCTGTGGCAAGAAGTTCTTTTAGTTCAATGAATGGTACTTCCAGATGAAGCTTTTATTATACAATTGCCTTACTGTGTTCACAGAACTTTGGTCGAAACAATGTGGGTTTTTCACCTGTAATCCTCTTCCCGTTACTTCTTTTGTCTTTTGAGATATTTAAGTTCCTTTGATTTTTCATGGCTCAGCAGGAATTCAAATTTAAGTCTCCTGAATCTTACTCCATCACTCTACTCAATACAATACTGTACACCCATACAGTACTGAGTATTCTCCTCCGTTTCCTTTAGTTCTATGTAAGCAGTGACGTAGATTGTGATGTTGCTTTCAGCTCTTTCAGTTTGGCAAATGTCTCACCATTGCATTTTACTTGCTGTGAGTTTCACCTGGTACAAGTACAGTAATAAAAGGCAAGTTACTATGGTTTAACTTTAGCTAAGTTTACCATTTTGAGACAGTACCTATTTATACATTCATGGCAAGGATTACTCAGATATTAATCAATCCAATTGTAACAAGTTTGAGGATCAAAAGAAAGGTGCAAGCAGGACTTATGTACTGATTTCAACTAAACGCCCAATTCATGTATAGTTTACTCATAATAACCAGCATGGAACATTGATTAGAGTGCAAGACTAGGACTGAAGTTAACAAGATACAAATCCCCAATTAACTACAATATTAACTGCTCTCTTTTGAGCAATGCAGAATGCTGAGTCAATACTGTTTTTCGACCAACCAACGAAGTCCAAATTAATATACTTTTCAAAGGGGACAAAATTATGTGCAACCTTTCAAGACTGGTACCTCTTCCACCGGTATGATATTACAAAAGGCGATAGGAGAGACAAGGAAAAGAGGCCAAACCATACATCAACATTCAGTTTTGATGCGTTGAGAGACTGCAGATTTTCAAGTGTGGCTAAACATCTGCTGCTCCCCCTGCCTCCATCAGAACTTGGACAAAACGGGGAGATTTTAAACGCTGACCTTCCCCCCCCCCTTTTTTTTGACCCTTCCCTTCCTCCATGCGTTGCCCTTCCTCCCCTGCCTAACACAATGACGATACGGAAAACGGGCCCATAATTTTGCCCAGACTCCTTTTAAAGCCCGCCCAATAAATATCATCCTGCTTCGGCATCTGCACTTTAGACTCTGCCATTTTCTTTCCTAGTCAACGGATCCTACGAGGTTGGCAAACCGTGACCCTCCCCGTCCTTCGATTTCACCCTCCTCTGGGGACTGTGTAACGCCTTCCTTCCCAAAGGTAAGGTGGTAGAGGACCCTTCGCCCTGCCTTGCCGGGAAATTACTGCTAAATCAAGCCCCGCCAACATTAATACCGGAACAGGGCACCCTGGGAATTGTAATCCCATCGCCCTTAACATACTGGAAAGTGTCAACGGTATTGGCGTGGTAACGGTTAATGTTCCCCAGGTACCTCTCAGGATTGTCAACTTTGAGACCAGCGCTCTCCAAACAACAGGATTCCCCTATACCATTCCAGCAACCAATGGCATACTTGCATTTCTACCACATGATCAAGCACTTACGAGCTACTGGCCCTCCCGATGTCAATAATCGAGGAATCTTAAAGACCCGCCCCTTGCTCATCGCCCCTGAAAGCATCCACTTCCGCCCGCCCTTCCCGCCGTAGGCCATAAAAAGCGAGAACGACTCGACAGGAAATGTCGCCCTCTTTCGTCCAACGGAAATGACCACAAGCCCAAGGCTTGCCCAAGCCAATGAGATACTCCCGTGGTCTGACGTCACGCCACGGCAGCCAATGGAAAAACCTGATGTGCCTTGCCAGGTTAGCGACGCATATTAGAACTGAGACGTTACCGACGGCGATAATATGGCGACCACTGCCAAACGCAAATCTGGGGGTGGCGAGGCGGGAGACGTCAGTGGCAATAACCGCCGCCTTACGCGAAGTGCAGGGGCTGCCAGGTCGGACGTCGATGGCCGCCGGGATGGAGAGTGGCCGTTCGTAGAAGGCGCCATTGTGAGGATCTCCATGGAGAATTTCCTGTGAGTGCGCGAGGCGCGGGAAACGAGGCGGGATGGAGGATCTGGCACGAGTGGGAGGGGCCTCCCGCGAGCGTAGAGGCGGGGCTTTCCGTCTCCGTGGATACGGCGTTTCCCGCTAGAAAAATGGGAGCGGCGCTGATGGATTTGTGAGGGAAATTGAAAGGTGGTCGGATGGAGGGCGGAATGAATCCCCAAGCCTTTGGTGTAGCAGCCCTCGACGCTGACAGGCTTCTGCTTGCAGGATTCCTTGCTTTCTCCTACCGGCGTCCCAGTTTACACACGTTGGCGTCTTGAGGAAGATGAACGAAAGGGCGCTGGTGGAAGGACCTTCCTTTCTCTTCCGACATTTGGAGGGTTGGGAAGAAAGGGAGGGAGGGGTTCATGGTTAGCTGGGCAGGGATGTGTACAGAGCTGCCCAGTTTGGGTAACGATCCCTCCCCCCCCACCATTCCCCCTAGGCCACCCTGCGTTATGCTGGAGGGTGAGCTGCAAGAGGGAAGGGAGGAGTACAGGAATTTTCCCCGTTTTTATTAAAAGCCTTTCTCTTTTCTTATAATAAAATCAAAGCCTCGTTGTGTCATTTTGTATCTACCTCCTTAGAAGTCGTCTTGAGCTCTGTAGAGTTCTGCTCATCTCTAGATCACACTTTCTTGTGAGTTGTGGGTTTTGATGAAGCTTGGCTGTGAATAAATGTCCATGAGATTAAGCTGCAGAACTGAAGTTATATGCAGACTGCTCTGGTTAGGAGATCTTTCTGAGTACAAAGAGGCAGACTTGCAAATAAACAGCTGTGCGCTAGCTAACCATCAGTATTATTAGTTATGTTTATTCTGTGCTTCTTTAGGATTGACTTTAAGGTGAAGTACACATGATTCCCCTTCTCCCCAATTTATCTTCACAGTGACCCTGTGAGGGAGACCAGGCTGAGCAAGACGGACCAGCCCAAGTCACTCAATGGAATGTCTTTGCTCAGTGGAACTTGACCCTGGATCTCCCATACTCTTAATCTCTCCTGAATGTGTTTTGATGACTGCTGTCTTACTTTGGAACTATTCCCATGAAACATAATTGACTGGTTTCCTGAAGATATATAACTGCATGATGGGCTGATGAAAATTTAGTTCTTCAAGAATGTTGCTCTGTGCAGCTATTGTCTTTGGAGGTCTTTCATAGACAGTCTTAATAAAAAATGAAATTATATTGAAATGGGCTAACAATTTTGGCTCTTTGAAAATTTTTAATTGCAGGATATATGAGCTGGTTTGATTGATTTTAATTCTTGTGATACTTGGAGTGGTGGGTGATTATTTAGATTTTTTTTTCTATTTTAAAAGCAAGGTGCATTTGATTTAAATCAAGTTGATTTAAATCATGATTTAAATTATTAGTAAGACTCGATTTAAATCATGATTTTTAAATGTAAAGTCTCCTTTTTGCTGGTAGTTATCTTTAATATTTGCAACCAGATGAAGATTTCATATTTAGAATAATAACCTGTCAGATTAGTTGAACAGATATATCAGAACTAATTTTAATTTATTAGGTAAATCATTCATATTTGGAGAACTATTTAAATTATTTAACTAAAAAAACATATAGCATACATTTTCTAGTACTTGCTTAAACATCAGTATTTATTAACTGAAGTGGTTAAACAAAATATCATTTTAAAAAGCAAACTATCTTCCAAGCTATCTTCAAATGTAGCAGTTGGAACTCCCCTATCCATGGAATCAGAATCCACTGATTCATTTATCCACTCTCTGAAAATACTAAATCCCACCCACCCCCAAATCCATATTTATATGTATTTCTACTCTGGTGAAACTCTGGTCCATGCACTTGTAATCTCGAGATTAGATCACTGTAATGCGCTCTATGTGGGGCTACCTTTTAGATTGATATGGAAGCTTCAAATGGTGCAGAATGCAGCGGCCAGACTTCTCAGTGGGACGAGAAAACATCAGCATAATTCTCCCACTCTGGCTGCCTTGCATTGGCTACCCATTCGTTTCCGCATTGTGTTAATGATGACATATAAAGCCCAAAACAGTTTAGGACCTCGATACTTAGTGGAATGCCTTTTCCCACATAGATCTACCTGAATCACTCGCTATAGCCAAGATGGCTGAGGGAGGTCCGGAAAGAAAGAACAAGAAATCGGGCCTTCTTGGCAGTGGCCCCTCGCCTTTGGAAAGTCTTCCTCCAGAGATCTGCCTGGCACCCTCGCTGGGTGTTTTCAAGAGCCAACTTAAGACCTGGCTCTTCAGGCAGGCCTTCCCTCCCGTCAATACTTGATTCTTATTTTCTGTCTTAATTTTCTATATTCTCCATCTTGAATGATACTAACATCATTGATTTAAATTGTTGTTTAATTGTTTTATGATATTTTTATTGTAAGCCGCCCAGAGTAGACGTAGTCTAGATGGGCAGGATATAAATAGAATAAATATTTGCCAGAACTGGTCACTAGAGGGGTCCAGAGACCATGCAATGTATAGCGTTCACTACATCCATGAGGCATCCACAGGGAGGCTTGGAAACGTTTCCTGTAATTTTAAGCCCCTGATGTGTGTGAGTCGCCCCACCGCCGCCTGTGAGGGGTTCCGTTGCAATTGGAACCAAAGGGGCTGAAAACAATTGCTGTTACTGTGCAGAGGAGGAGGAAGGCTGCATGGAAGCATGCAACTTAGAGGGCACCTTGGTTGGAACTGATCCCCCACAGATACTGTGACCCAACTGTAATATGTTCATTGTTTGTACGTAGCTTTGCAGAACAATGAGATTAAGGTCTTTTCTTGAACGTTGAATTGACATCATTTTTACTGTGAAGAAGTGCATGTTATCTCGGCTTGAATAACTTGGATTAATTTAATTAGTTTACCAAAAATATAAATTTTTCATGAATATACAGACTCATGCTATATAACTAAGCTCTATTTCATGCTGAAATAGAAACCACTGAACTATAATGACTCTTAAGTGGAAAACTATCTTTAGATACATTTTTTCTTCACAGCATTTTATTAAATCTGATTTAAATAATAAAAATCTTATTTTTTAAAAAAAATCATTTTGATCCACCCTGTTTAAAAGGTCTGTCACCAGTAATGTATCAATGGATTATATTATTTGCGTGAGAGAGTTGAAAGAATTAATGAATAACGCATTGCTTTTTAAAATTATGTTTCCAAGCTGTATAGTACAGTGAGGTGGAAGAAGTATAAAGAACAGTTAGTGGTGTATAATGAGGATTGACTTTGGATATTGTTCTTATTTCTGGAGTAAGACACTGAATTTGCTGGACTTTAAGTTCTATCAATATTATTTTGGCCTAAACCCAGTTATTACTCCCAATGAGAGTAGACCTACTGAATGATTGAGTTTTTTGGAAGTCACTCACTTGATCCAGTGAGTTTATTCTAAATCGGACTAACAGTTGGGTTTGGGTTATTGTTTTCAATGCTTACTAGAGAAATCTTATGACAAAGTTAATCTTTTCCCTTCTGGTCCCTAAGCACAACCTGTTTTTAGCTTATATCAAATATGTTTTTTTTTTAGTTATTGTGCTGCTTTTAATATTGTATTCATGGCGATGCAGATTATGGGGTTTACGCAATAACGGTATACAGATCAATTCAGAAATAAATTCTATTGAGCAGAGTGGCAGCATATTGAATATAAGTAGATACATGGTTTCAGACTTAGTTTTGCATCACTAATGTGGCTGTAGTCTGCAAGTAAGATGGTCTTTTGCAGTTATGGAAACAGTGCAAGAGTAGAATATATTGTTACTGTAGACTAAATTATTTTTTCCTGCTTCACGTATTTCTCTCTGGACATTACTAATTAATAACATTGCATTTTAGGACATACGATAATTGTGTCGTCTATCCAGGCCCTCATCTAAACATGATCGTTGGAGCTAACGGAACAGGCAAATCAAGCATTGTTTGTGCCATATGCCTAGGATTGGCAGGAAAACCTTCTTTCATAGGACGAGCAGACAAGGTGAGGATAATTCTTGGCAAATTTATAAAATGATACAAACAAGTGTCATATCTGCTGTGGTCATATATTTCAATTACATAAGACTATTTTCATTTAGTGGCTGAAATCCTATTGCACGTGGTGTAACTTAAGGCTGTATGGGCAAAACTTTGCACGGAGTTATGCTCAGGCAGTCTATATTGCGTTCCTGATTGTGCACCTGTGCCTTTGGAACTGCTTACTGGATATGTCTTCTGCCTTGGCTTGAATTTCACAACCATTTCTGCAGCATTAAGTTACATAGGTGTGAGTTGGGAAGAGGATTTTGGCCAATAATCTAAAACAATACACTAAAACTGGTATACTTTGGTTGCTATTTATTATCATCTCCTGGAAGCTGTGTATGAAGCTTCTTCATAATCTTGTGTATAGCATATCTGACATTAATGAGTATCTAGACAGAGTCCATACAAGAGACTGCTTAAGAGTTTCAATGACCCTTCTGAAAAGATGCTATTTCAGCTAAGCTTTTTTTCTTTTTCGTATTCATTTTTCCTCAGGATCATGTGTATTCAATTTCATTATGTCCTGAGCTTAGAGTATTCTTATCTTGTTTTAATATCAGCTCTTAAATGTTTTACATATTTTGCGTTATTTAATATTTATAAAAGGATTGTGTGTTTTTCAGGTTGGTCACTATGTGAAGCGGGGTTGTAACAAAGCAGTAGTTGAAATTGAAGTGTGAGTAATCAAACTTGTTCATTTTTTTTGACTTGTGCAAAGTTACTAAGCCATATTTCTGAAAAATTATTAGGAAACTACATATTGAGATATTGAATTGATATTCCTTTTTAGAAATTAAAATCAGAAGTATGAATTTTATGATTATGGATATCAATTGACAATTCTTTTCTGTTTACTAGGTTTAAGAATCCAACCAATCTTACTATCACACGAGAAATATCTGTAACAAACAACCAATCAGCTTGGTTTATTAACAAGAAGCCTTCTACTCTCAAAATGGTAGAGGATCAAGTCTCAGCATTAAACATTCAAGTAGGGAATCTATGTCAGTTTCTTCCACAGGTACGAAAGGGTATCTTTTAAAAGAAAATCTAAACATTAATTAATTTCTGTGACAGAGTGAAATTCGCAGTGAAGTGGGAAAACAAAGCAATTGTGAGAAATTCTGTTCAGGCAATGCACAATGTATTTGAAAGTGTATTCTTGAAGACTTATTTGAAAATGACTGATACCGCCACAAAGCTTTCATACACATAGTTACATATTTCTACCTCCTGTACAAGTTTCCTTTGCTTGTGGTGTGCTTTTGCAAATCTGAACATTATGAGGCCCATTGATTCGATCCATTCAGCATGAAGTAAAGCAGTCTTGTATCTTTTGCTATCAATCTGTTGCCAGTTTTCTCTAGGTTCCTGTGTGTAATACCAGCAGATAAAAGCTCCTTGATGAAAAATTATTAACAAGATATCTGTTGCTCATGTGATGCTTAATGGCTCTGTCTGGTGTTGAAAGGTCCTACTTTAGTCACAATGTCTTTACACCTGAAAGCATCTGCTGGGAGAGTGGAAGGTTCCCCCAAAGCCTGTGGAAGCTATTCCACAGCTTGAGTTCCATGAATTGAGGATTATGCTCTTTCAATTAGCAGTCCTGAGAAATATTATACTGGATATTTGTACTAATTTAAAAAGTCAAACTAATTTAGCTTTTCATTTAACTGAATGCTTTTTTGTACACAAAATACTTCAGATATATTGCTTCTTACTCTGCAGGACAAGGTTGGAGAATTTGCAAAATTATCCAGGATTGAACTACTTGAAGCCACAGAGAAATCAATTGGTCCTCCAGAAATGTATAAATTTCACTGTGATCTAAAAAACTTCAGGCATAAAGAGCGCGAACTTGAGGCAAGTATGAGTGTCAGATTCCATGGAGTTCCTTCATAGGGCTCCTATTTTACAGAGTCCCTGTGAGAGACTTAGAGATTTGTGTTTTATACACGTCTGATAAGGAATTTAATTGCGGTCACAGAAAGTATTGTACCTTGCTATATTCATTCAATTCATCCTTTCTGAATCTGATAAGGAATTTAATTGTGGTCACAGAAAGTATTGTACCTTGCTGTATTCATTCAGTTCATCCTTTCTGATACCCTTCAAAATCTTGACCTAAAATTCAAAAGTGAATCTTTTTCTTTAAAAGATTTATTTAGCAAGCCAGCAGTCCTGTAAATAAGAAACCCAAAATTTAAAATATATTTGGACTATATGAAAGTATATTAAAAAGACTAAATAAGTATATATTTCAAAATTCATAATCTCCTAATACAAAAACTTTGTTCATAAATATAAAGATAGCATTTTAATATAGATACTGTATAGATATATAAAGTAGAATTTACTAACATTCTGATCTTTTATTCAGATAGTTTAGAACTTAATTCAGTAAATCAAAGGATACTATATAAAGACTAATTACTTAATTTCAAAATTCACAATCTCCTAATACAAAAACGTTGTAGTTCGTAAATATAAAGATAACATTTTAATATAGATGCTCTATAGATATCTGATCTTTTATTCAAAGAGCTTAGAACTTAAATTCAGTAAATCAAAGGATACCATATAAAGAGTAATTACTTAGTAAAAAAGCTATTGGTTAGTAAAAATGAAATACATAAATTCTTATACAGGTCACTTAAAAATCTACAGTATTGCAATAGATATTTGTATAATGAAGTTGAGCATGGCAGAATCTTTAGTAAATAAGTCCGATCATATTACATAATCCTCACCCACTCTTAAGTGAGATTTCTCCCGCTTGTTTGTAAAAACAAGGTTCCTGCATCCTTTGAGATGTTCTCCAAACATGATAGAAACTTCCGTTTATATATTAGTAAATAAGTCCGATCATATTACATAATTCTCACCCACTCTTAAGTGAGATTTCTCCCCCTTGTTTGTGAAAACAAGGTTCCTGCATCCTTTGAGAAGTTCTCCAAACATGAGAGAAACTTCCGTTTTGATGTTACAGTCAAAACAATCTAATGTGGAACTCTGGCTTTCTCGTTGGTATGGGGTGTGAACATGCCCTAATCTGTCTGAATGATGTTCTGGGGTAGCAGTCTCCTAGTTTAGCTGGGCTCTGTATTAGCCCTTTCCTTTAGAGTACAATGTGGCTAGGTGATGTAATTTACTGACATTTCATTTGAACAGTACAATGCATCTTGAACATCTATTACATGCTTTTTACACTTTTCCATGTTATAAAACATTTCCCATTTAAATTTCTTTTTTCCCTTCCATATATTTTTATTAAAATCCATAACTGACACGAGAAAGGTTTGTTTTCTTTATATGCATGTACCTGTGTCCATGTTTTACAAGATGTACTCTCTGCTTACCCATACATGAAATTAATCCTATACTTTAAAGATAAACACAGAAAATGTTACAGTTGTAAGAGGATAGTAGGTCAGTAGAAACTCTCTTTAATACTTAAAACATATGAAAAACATCCACAAGTCTTTCAGCTTTGAAAAAAACTACAGGCACAAATTTTTAAGAATATTTTAGTGTTGAACAAGTTGCAGATAACATGTTTAGGTCATGTTTCAAAGATGTTTTGAAATTGGAGGAGCATAAAAATACAATAGAAATATAATTTAAGAATCAAAAAGAGTAAGGAGTATGTTTTAATTACATTCTAAAAATGCAAGAGCTTATATCCTCACCAAACACAAATAGAAAGCAGAGCGCGTCTTTCAAAATTTCAACATTCTTAAAAGTAAAAATATATGAAAGTAAAATATTACTTATTCTACAAATATGTGACATGGACACAACACAAATTTTTAAGTCCTCTGATTGTTCACCCAACTGTCTACCAGTTTGAATCTATGAAAGGACATCTGTGTTCTTGCTGCTGCTACACGTTGTCTGATGGTTTCTGGGCTGCTAGTGTTCCTTAATGCCTGTGTCTGATATCTGACCTAGATTTATACTTGTTTATTATTCTGCTCTCAGCTGGCACACTTCTAGCAGCTCACTATCAGGAGAGTTTCCTTCAATGGAAAACACCATACTTAATTTTTCTATGGGGATCTACATTGCTTTTACTTCCCCTGCAGACTCCTAAAGAATCAGCTCATTATTTATATTTTGACTTGTTCCTTTGAACATCTGCTAACGTAGTAGATTCCATAGGAAACTCCTTGGGTACGACTTTGTTGGTGAAGGAATCTGGAAGGTATCATTGTGCTACACTTGCAGTGTAGTGCTCTAGAAGCCATGATCCAGGACTTTTCTCAACGTGTTCCTTGGCTTATCTGTGTTTACATGTCCAGTCCCAAATCTTAGCTTGCTAGCAAAGATATGATTTAGTAGTCTGCTAATCAAACCTCATTTTTTAAACACACATACAAAATGTACATTTTCAGAGTTGCATTTTCTACAGTTGCCTTAATTATCCTACCACTTGATACATAGAAAATACCAAACCTTGACACGGAAGCAGAAAAATACATTTCAGATTTTAAAATCTAGCTCCTGCTACCCACTGGCTTTTTGACAGCGCCTCCTTTGATTTAGATCTGTTCTTCTGTTGCCACTCTGATCCTATGGTTGTATTAGTGTTACAACTTGCCATTTATAAAGTGCATTGAGTTCCCTAAGTGCTGGAATGGTATTAAAAAATGAGGCAGCCCTTGCCCACAAATTTGCAATCTAATAGGTGGAAGAAGGAAAGGGGAGGCAAGTATCAGTACAGCTAATCTGTCTTCACCTGATAAGTGGCTCTAGGCCTATGCTCCCTTGCCCATGATATCCTTCTGGGAGGCATAATGGAGTCGTTTGAGGACCCCAGGTCTCTTGGCCAAAGGCAGAGATATATTGCATGCTGTAATTGGTTAGCGATGAAATTTTTTTAATGAAATGCTTTTGTTGCTGAAATGCTATTTGTTTTTTTAAAATTGGTTTGTCATTATGAACATGGTACTGTGCTATACTGCATTACTTTAAATTTAACACATGCTTTATTGTTTGTCTATAGAATTTTTATGTTATACAGTAGTTGGCTACTTTGAAATTTTTTTTTCATAAGAGGAAGGAATGCTAGGATTTCCACTTTTAAAAAATTTGTCTGTTATGGTTCAGGCCAACATCGATTTCTATGATTGTTGTTTCCTGATTCTGGTTGTTTTAGTTCTGATCAGATGGAACTCTCGGTTGACACTAACACTTAACCATAGAGATATAGTCAGGGTTTGATGAAGAGAGTGGAACAGGAGATGTACATGGTCATGTGATACATTCAGATATTTTATCCACATTTAAGGAAGAGTGTGTTAGATATGTACCAGTTCTCTGTGAATAATTTATAATTGACTTGTGAGCTCTACTAATTTCTGTATTGGGAAAAGAAATGCATACTCTAAATATTTTAGAATAACTAGAGGAGATTCCTAGGGTAAAATATAACTGACCAAATGTTGCTATAGAGTATCTGTTTGCTATCCATTAATTCTCACTTTTGTAGGAAGTGGGGATATTGAATACACAGATCAAGCGTACAAGAAGTTTCATTGATTTTTTTCATCTAAATTAGATACCATGTAGATCACAAAGCTTCAATTATTTGTATTTCTGACTTGCTCTCTATAGAGTAAGATCCATCTGCCATTAGAGAAACAACCTGCTGCTTTGACATAAACCCTAATTTTTCTCATATGTTTGCTGGAATTACAAATAGGCCATGGGGTAGTTAGAAAATGAGAGCTAATTTTATTAATTCTGACAGAATGCATGGAAGGAGAAAAGTAACAACTTAGAGAAAATGAAGCAAAAGAATGAAAGGTATAAGCAAGATGTGGAGAGATACTACGAACGTAAGCGCCATCTAGATAAAATTGCAGTGCTTGAGAGAAAAAGGCCCTGGTTGGTAAGTTCTCTTATTTTTTAAAAGATTTTTAAGTACTGTATACTGTTTCTAAAAAAACCCAAATCTACAATAAAACAGTGATAATATGATGAAGATGCTTGAATAAAGTATAGATCATCAAACATCAGAGGTATTAATGTGGGAAAGATACAACAAATGAACAGAGTACACAGAAACTTGTCTAGCTGTAGAGCTTGTGTTTTGTCTACAGTTTTACAATAACATTGTTAAAGTCTCATCTTTATATAGCATAACTGCTTTGGTTGCTGAGAGATGTGTATATGCTGTGTAGAATATAGTACTGGGTGTAGATATTCCTAAAAATTCAAACAGTTTGGTAGACTTTAGACCCTGAATCCTATATGGCACTGAGCAGTTGCATCAGAATTTTCAGACTCTTCCCCTTCCCCAGCAGCCTTTGGAACTGCTGGTTTGAAAAATAGCTATGGCTCTTTTGTAGCCAGCCAGAACACTGGGTGATTAAGGGGGCTGCAGCTGGGAGGAAGAATTGTGCTTCCCTTTCTTATGCTAGATTTGTACCGGTGCAAGTGGATGTCCAGCACTGGATAGAGGTATTGGTCTGCAAAAATAGGATTGAATGAATGATTGATTGAAGATGGACGAGAGAGTGAATAGGATCACCAGTAGTTGGGGACAATGTTTTCTTGCCTTACACAGCTTCTACCTTAATCTTATGGCTATCAAATCCAAAATAATTTTGAAAACTAATAAAAGTTATACATGTGTGTAGTGCAAAAAGAAAATAATAATCTTTTTTTCAGTTCTGAGGAGAAGGACATCCAATCTCTTTTCTTCTAGTCTTCCACCTCCCACTGGTATGCCTGCTTAATCTAATGAGTAGTCTCAGGGAAGCTGAGAGAAATATCATTAGGAGACTAGACTCCAACCCAGGGTGGAATTTTTAAACATGAGGCAGAAGTCTGAGATGCAAATGCAAACTGCAGCCAAGAAATCAGAAGACTGAAATTTGTAAGGTTGACTATGAAGGAACTAAAAATATTGTTACAAGTAAGAATGTGTCACTGGAGACCATACTGTTGTTTTCTTAATTGCTGCGTATAAATGTGAATAACTGACAAGGAAAAATGGATACGTGAAAAATGTGACATTGGAGGACAGTTTATAGATTCTGTGGACTACAGAAGAGACAAATAAAGGTGAGATCAAATTAAGCTTCTCATTAGAAGCAAATACAGTATGAATAAACCAAGGCTATTGTAGCTGAGACATGTCATGAAAAGGCAGCAGTTCCTGGGAAACAACACTGCTAGGAAAATTTGACAGCAGTATGAAAAGAGGGTAAAAAGAACAGGAAATAGATTGACTGAGTAATTTGAAGTCATATTCCTTATTTTGCAAGACCTGTGTAGGGCTGTTAATGATAAGACCTTTTGAAGCTAGTTAATTTTTAGGGTTGCTGTAAATCTGATGTGACTTGATGGAACATGCCAGTCTTCTCCTCCTCCTGAGGCTACGGCAGCTTCCTACTCCCATCCTCTTCCTACAGCAATTCCTAGCTAGAACAGCTACCGTACTTGAGAGACTTTTCACAGAAGAGTCATACAAATTGTTCCAGTTTACTGATACCTCCACTTGCTGCTTTTGCTGCAAATGTAAACTATAAGAACATTTCTCAAACTAAAATATCCATAGGAGTCTGGAAGTCTCTAGTTTTCATTTGTTGCAGGAATAGCAGTGACCTGTATAGACTGTGGGACAAGCAAGGCTGAGGAGAGTTGAGAAGGTTTTTGTTAAGGTATACAGGTGCTTTCATGTGTAATATTCTACTGAGATACTGGCCTTCAGTCGGTGGAATGTCAAGCCTGGCTGTATGCATTTCGATTCTGGTTCAAGGTGCTATATGCTCCCACAACCAGTGGGTGTTTATCTACAAAAAGATGTCTTTACCAGCTCATGGCATAAGAGGTTTACAGACAAATTACATCTTTTAGGCTTCTCTATGGACTGAGTCAGCCTTATGACAGTACCAAGTTAATGCTTGTACAACTCATTAAAGATACAGATGTCCAGTATTCACTAGCATGTGCAGACAGGACCTGCTCACCAATGTACTTTGGTTTAAATTTTAACTTTCCCAAGTTAGCAAATTATCTATATCAAATTACAGTAGCAAGGTATTGTTTTGTCGTCTCAAGGGCTAGGTTTAATTGCTTTCCCTCAGCCTTGTTAAAAAGGCGCTTTAATAACATTCCCTATAGAGAAAGGATATGCCCCTATGGGGAAGAAACAGTTGAGTCCTTGGCACACACCATTCTAGAATGTAGCTTATATAGGTTCGAACGTATCCTTTACCTCTACCCAATAATATGTAAATGTAGTAGTGTATCTCCTACAAACTACCTGAAGTTTCTGCTGTCAGGAGAGAACCAATTAATAATACAGTCAGCGGCTAAATTTTTATTCTCAGTTTTAAGAATTCGTAAAATATTATATAAAGACAACCACCTGACACAAGGTTTATATTGTCAATATGTTCTAACAATTTACTTACTCTGTATATCTTTTTTGCTGTGGGTGGTGGTTGGAGTTTTTGTGTAGGTAAAAAAAGAGGGATAATCAAAACACTGGTAGACCATGCAAATCGGAACTGTGAAGCTCAGTTGTGGCCAGGTATATATTGGAACCACAAAATGAAGCATCCACACCAGAATCGAAGAACATGAGAGGCACTGCAGATTAAAACAACCAGAAAAATCTGCAGTAGCTGAACATGCTCTAAAACAAACTGGACATGAAATTCTATTTCAAAATACTGAAATACTGGACAACACCAGCAATCATTACGTCAGACTGCACAGGGAAGCCATTGAAATCCACAAGCACCAGCAGAACTTCAACAGAAAAGAGGAAAGTGTGAAGCTCAACAAAACTTGGCTCCCAGTTCTCAAAAATAAAGCGTGCAAAAGGTCAACGAACTCTACCCAGCCACAAGGACAGGGGATCACTATACACAAAAGACCAGCTAATGACACCCATCAACGACAGTGACAGATAATCTGTGCTCCTTAGCACAACAATACACCCACAACAAGACACATTAATCACTCATCTACAGAAAAAGACAAAAGCCTATCTCACAGCCATAAATACTGCACACCAGAGCACAGAGTGCTGTCCTCTGAAGATGCCGACCACAGAGACTGGTGAAACTTTAGGAAGAATAACCTTCAGAGCACGGCCAAAGAGCCTGAAAAACCCACAACCACCATTAGATCCCGGCCGTGAAACCTTTCGCGAATACCGAAATAATAATTGCTTATTTGTAAATGAATGGTTGCCAATTTGTGGAGTGCTTGATGTTGAATTATAATTCTCAGAAGCACCATCCACTGGCTTGGTTGAGACCTCTGGGTATTGTAGAAACATCATATTTGAAATACCAAGGTGAGAAGTCACTTGTATAGATCTAGTTCTCATGGAGAAGTGTATTGTACTTTTGTCTGGGGAAGAGAAGTATAGGTACATAGGCACAGTTTTAATGAGTAGAAAATATGTTGATATTACTTTCATGATGTTGTCTTTATAGTATTAGATAAATTGGTGCTTCTCCCATTTGTTGAGAAAAGTAGTGATTCAAATTAACACATTAATGTTAACGTATTATAGTCACTAGAATGTATCTGGATTTAATGTTGATGTTTCCGGTGCAGAATGGCAGCATATCTGTGTTAAACCTGTAAAAGCTGTGTTAGATGTACCTTAGAGAATTTGTGTAAGGTGTTATGTTTGTGGTATTATGTATATTTCCTGTTTTGCAAGTCAAAATTAGAAAAATATTTCTGATGTATTGGATACCTGTTTGAGGTGCAGTAGGACAACAGTAATTTTGCTTAGTTGTTGGTAGTAATACAGCTCTATTAAACAACATTAGCAAGATATTTTGCAAGCCATACAAGGAGTGATAGGACACGTTTGTGGTATTATGTATATTTCCTGTTTTGCAAGTCAAAATTAGAAAAATATTTCTGATGTATTGGATACCTGTTTGAGGTGCAGTAGGACAACGGTAATTTTGCTTAGTTGTTGGTAGTAATACAGCTCTATTAAACAATATTGGCAAGATATTTTGCAAGCCATACAAGGAGTCATAGGACACAAGATCTAGCTATCTCCAATGATAGCAGTTTCGGATTGTTTAATGAAGAAATGTTATAACTTATGGAGCGAAAAATACGGTAGCTATCTCCAATGATAGCAGTTTTGGATTGTTTAATGAAGAAATGTTATACGAAAACATTAAATAACGGTCATTTGGTATGTTAACTTTATAATAACATTAGAGTGGCAATTATTGATGAAGGAATGGATATACCTTTTGTTGTAATGTCATGGAGCAGGGTGTGGAAAGTAATGCTTGGGATTAAGTTACAGATATTTATATGAAACAAGTGATTCAGCATATTTCTGAGAAATAAGTTAACATTTATTCAATACTGGTATTACTATAAACTGTCGACAACCAGAGATGTTTTAGCAAACAGTTTAATCAATATTGTATGAATGAATGTAATATAATTTATGTAATGTCATGGAGCAGGGTGTGGAAAGTAATGCTTGGGATTAAGTTACAGATATTTATATGAAACAAGTGATTCAGCATATTTCTGAGAAATAAGTTAACATTTATTCAATACTGGTATTACTATAAACTGTCGACAACCAGAGATGTTTTAGCAAACAGTTTAATCAATATTGTATGAATGAATGTAATATAATTTATCAAAATGTTTGTTCTTATAAACAGTGTATTATTTCATTAGCAAACAGTTTAATCAATATTGTATGAATGAATATGAATGAATGTAATATAATTTAACAAAATGTTTGTTCTTATAAACAGTGAAATATATTATTTCATTTCATATTGTATAATATGCATATTCTTGAGTGTTTAATTGAATTCTAACTGTGTCTTTCTAAAATCATTTTGGTCAGCAGTCTTAAGGAAATGTGGGACATAATTAAAATAAATTAATAATAATAATAAATGATCAGTTCTCAGTGTATGTGATGAGCCAGTTGTGGTTGCTTAGTTACACAGTCCTCATGAAGAAATCTGAAACAGGCTCAGCATTTCTTAACAGGAGTAGAAGTCAGCTTTAGCAGCCTGGAGTGCACCAGCATGCTCTTGGCAGGGTTCTCTCTACCAGACTTAGAGATCCTGCCATAAGCTGTAAGAACTCTTAGGATACGCTTTTTAATTCTGCTCAAATGTGGGGGATCGCTGTACGGATCAGCCCCAATCGGCGCACTCGCGATGGCCCGAAATGCCCCCCCCGCAGCGTTTTCGCGACCTCCGTAAGCAAGGGGAGGGCGCGAAAACACTGATAGGGGCCATTTCGGGTCATGGCCGCCGGATGCGAAAACATCGCTGGAGGGGGTAAGTTTCGAAGCTTATTGGAACGCATTAAACTAAGTTTAATGCGTTCCAATAGGCTTTCCTTACCCGCACAGCGATGTTTTCGTATAGCGAAGGTTAATCCGGAACGGATTAACCTCGCTATACCGGGCACCACTGTATATAAAATTGAACTCTGTGATCCAGAGTAGTAATAAAGGTGGGTTTGTCCCATGAAGGAAAAAACTGTAGGATTTTTTTGGAAACAAGAAGGATGCATTATGAGGGCATATTATTCTAAATGTTGTGACTGTTTCTCAGTGGCAGAAATCCAGCATTATGTTGCAACTAGAATAGGCCAATAGAATCAATGGGGATTTGTTGAGTAAACTCCTCTGTAAATCTCATTGATTCAAATGAGCTGCTGTCTAAATGTTGTCACTGTTTCTCAGTGGCAGAAATCCAGCATTATGTTGCAACTAGAATAGGCCAATTGAATCAATGGGGATTTGTTGAGTAAACTCCTCTGCAAATCTCATTGATTCAAATGAGCTGCTCTAACTATGACTTACAGAGGAATTTACTCACTGCATCACCATTCATTCAGCTGGCCCAGTTTAGTGCAATTTACTATGCTAATCAACAGAATTTTGGCCTCTGTTCTGTTGTGAATTTCTTCTGCAAAACCACAAAGTAGAAGTGGAAATACATAAATGTACTAGTAATACTATTAATAATGGTGCTGGAGCTTCTTTTGCTGAGTCGTGCAGTGTCTCCTGAAACTTAGAAAGTTATCTCTCATTATTCTGAAAGCAATCCTTTTGCATTTCCTGATGAAGTCAAAGGTTGAACAAAGTAGTGACATCAGATGATCCTTTTGATTGTTTGAAGAGGTGAGAATAATGCTTTTAAAGGTTTTATATTTCTTTTTAGGTATATGATGATGTTTACAACCAGTATGAAGAGGTGAAAAAAAGTCGAGACCGTCAGAAAACAGAATTAAAAGAATTAAAAGAAACACTGTCTCCCATGATACGTCAGATCCAAGAGGCTGAGAAAGAGTGTGCAAGTCTGGATGTCAAAATCAGAGAGAAGGTCTGTATTTTAGATATGCAATGTTGGTGTGCTTGTAAGTGTCCGATATCTGTGTAGTTAATGTATATACATATAAGAGGTTTGGAACCATGGCCTGAGATACAATATAAAATTTAAAATGAAGGCTGTTCTAATAAATAATTAGAAATGAGTGAGTGGTTGGGTATTACGAAATGGAAAGCTCTACATAGTCTAGCTTCTCAATGACCCACCTGAGGGCATCCATTATCTATCATATTATCCAAATCTCAGTGTGTCAGGGAATCAGACAGTGCACTATAATGCAACATCCTGGATCACTGACTCTCTCCTGAGTGAGAATTCACAATTCAAATATATTTTCTCAGATCTTGCCAGGCTGTTGCCATGGCTGCCTTTCTTTTCTTTTCCTTTTTTGGACTTTAGATGCGAGAGCATGTTCTCCAGCTCAGGGTGTTGAGAGCTTGAACTGGAGAACTGACCCTGAAGTACAGTAAACTGAAGTTAATGATATTTTGATCTGGCGTAAGACAGAAGTGCTCCCCAAACTTTTTTTAATTTTTATTTATTATTACTATTATTATTTTCCCCCACCCCCGCTGCTGTGCCTCCAGATTTTAGCAGCTTGACAGTCAATTCAGTGATAGCAGGATGTTGTCTTGTTGCAAGTCTGACTCCTTTGGAGTCCTTTCCCAATAGTCTCTATGACCCTCAGCACCTTTTCCCTCTAGGTGGGGGAAACCCAAGAAGGTTGCTAGAGGCGACAATCCACCAATTTCCCAAAGGCAGCTTGCCTGAAATCTGCTATCACTCCCAATAACCGTTTTATTAAAAATCGACATACAGATTACACAGTAAGTGCCTGAGAAGTAAGGACTGGATTCAGAACCCTTGTCTGCTTTCTGTACTCCAAAATTATTTCAAGGCAAGGCAAGGATTTTTTTGCATTTTATTTAAGAAGGAAAAAAATAAAGAGTTAAGCAAAGAAGAGGTAAAGGATCAAATGCAAAACAATGAGAAAATAGTATACAGAAAAATAAACAGGCATTGGACAGATACAAAGAAATGTCACACTTAAAAAAATAAGAAAGAATTTAGCTACCCTAACTATACTGGTTACCTTACTGCTGAATGCTCTACTCATTGGAGTCTCCTTGGGAAGCTGCCCACGCCATTGTATGGGAAAAATAGAAGTATCCTTTCTGGAACTGAAGTACCAGGATAGGAATTGCTTTCTACATAAATGTGTCCAGTTTCACTTTGGGTCTAAGAGGGTGATTCAATATAGCTGCTAGTACTCATATTGTAAGTTACAGGTTTCACAAAAATAGCAGTCAGTTTTGTGTAAACTGGAAATTTTTATTTTGCAGGAACAGTTGCCATCAAGTGCAAATGTTATATGTAGGTCAGTTGCTCCAATCCAGTAGTAAGTAGCCACTAGAATATCACCCCATTGAATCATAAAATGGAAGCCTCTGTATAGAGGAGCTCACTCACATAATCCCTGTAATTCAGTGGGCCTACTTAGGTTGTGACTTACTACTGGATTTCAGCCATTGTGTTGTATAATAAAAAAAGTAGCAAACCGATGCTGGATGTGATTTTGTTGGATTTTGCTGGTTAATTATATAATTTGATCTAATTCCTTTTTAAAATTCCTTTGCTCTATAGACTGCAGCTATTAAAGAAACTTCTGAGAAATGTAAACAACAGCAAGATGCTTTGGAGAGAAAAGACAAGCAGGTAAGGCATATTATTGCCTTAAAACAATAGCAGCTAAAACCTTAATGGTGTCATAAATCTTGGAAATGTATTCCCATTACTCTTCCTTCTACTTGTGTTGATTTTGAAGATTTTCGTGTTAATTTTCTGGCATAGTGTTTCATTTTGTCACAGTTTTTTCTGAATGCAAGGATTCTGCAGTAATAAACCCTACATATTTAACATTAAATCTTGACACATATTCCATGCCATTTTTACAGCTGATAGGATAATTTTCTTCTAAATATACAAAGACACTGGCCTATAAGAAGAAAGGGGCAGAGCTTAGTGGAAGAGATCTCACATCTGTCACTGACATCTCCAAGCAGGGTTGAGAAACTACTTTCTGAACACTGAATATATTTGGCTAGGCTATCCAGAATGCTGGATTCCATGGAACAATGCCTTGACTCATTCTAAGGCAAGTTCTTTGTTCCTGACAACAACACCTTAATTTAGGATGGGATCACTTTTCTTTCAAAGCAATACAGAATCACTTAGGTCTGGCGTTAGTTGATGGTAATAATTTTATTTAGGTGAACCGTAACTTCTGTTTGTGTATCTATTTTAGCTAGAATATTATGAGGTCTTCGCTGTTGCCTTTTATTTCTGATTTGTAATGGAATAAAATTTTGTTGGTGGTATGCTTGGAAAAAAATGTTTTTCTTTCAGATTGAGGAAGTTAAACTCGCTTTGAGGATGAAAAGAGAGGCAGAAACAGACAGGCAGAAAAGGATACAAAATACTCATAAATTGATAGAAGACTTGACTAATGAGCTGAAAAATGCAGATAGTTCTGAGACTATTCAGCCTCTAATTGATTCTGTTAATGCTAACCTCAGACAGCTGGAGGAAGAGAGAGCAAGTATTGATGTTGAACTGAATGATTTGCTCAGAGAAAGGGAGAACCTGCTGAAGGACAAAAAAGGTATATGAGTATTGTCAATACTACCTGTAATTCCACTGAAATAGATTGCCTTGATAACTGACAACTATCTTGTCTCTCTAATATTGTAATTATAAAATCCCTTTCGACCCTTGTTATCACTTGGCTAGGATATTTTTGGATCTTGCTTTGTGTTTGTGGTCTTGATGTATTTAAGACTCCACTAATTCTGCCCCCTCCCCCCAGTTCACAGCTTCTCGTTGCCAATGCTGAAGCTTTTTCAAATTTGGAGAACTTGGGTTTGCTTGATTTTTTTTTGAGTCAGCTTTGGTAAAGAAGCTTTGAAATCCCTGCATTCATATGAGTGTCCTTGTATAGCCTTTTGAATCTCGACAAAGTAACTGCCAAAGGTTTAAGCTAGTGTAGAGATTGGTGTTGGGGCATGGGATGGCTATTGGTCTAACAAGATCTAGTTTATTAGTCATTATGGAAGAGATGGTGATAAAAAAATTTGAACTTGACATCCTGGGCTGATACTGGACTCTTTTGCAAGAAATCCACATAGATCTCCTGACTGGCTGCTTACAATAGTCATTCCCTGGTGGAAGAAAGTGAAAAGTCCATGGATCGCATTACGAAGATTAGGTCAAGACACCTTGTCAGTCTAGTAACGAGTTAGTGCCTTTACTTGTGATTATGAAATACAACAAACATGCTTTTAAAACTGTTTCAAAATTTCAGGGGTTGTTGATCGTATTGTGCAATTTGAAAATTTGATGGCTCAGAAGGAAGAGAAGCTCAAGGGGAGATTTCGAGACACATACACTGCTCTTTTGTGGCTAAGACAGAACAGAGGCCGGTTTAAAAGATGTGTCTGTGAACCTATGATGCTTGCAGTAAGTGGATTCATTTCAATATTTCACTGCTTAGTCATCACTAAAATTTGAATGCCATTTCTACTGTAACCTGATTTCTTCTTGAATAATCTATTGTTTTAATAAAAATTCTCAATTTTGGTATGCCTGTTTTTGAAAGCCTTGTTTGTGTGGGTTCCATTTGTCCCATATTTTTGTAGTACGGAATAGTACAGAATATTTTGTCTGAAACATTTGGATTTTTAGGATTATCTATCACATGTCATAAAGTAATAGATGTTCAACCACCTTTTTCTGGCGGGCTTCTTTAGGTAGAAGATACTCCTTTCACTTTACCTTCACCATCACTCAGGTTAAAGAGCTTCCCAGTAAAGCATTGAAAACATAGTATGGGAGGCCTTAAGTAGACTTATCTTTACAGCTGGTTTTATCTCAAACAGTCTTAAGTTAGTCACTTCTTTTGAATAAATCATAACGTTTGAAGGGGGCTATAAGGCTGTTGAGGCGAACCCCCTGCTCAGTGCAGAAATACAAATTAAAGGACATCTGCCAGGTGGTTGTCTACATTTTTCTTGAATGCCTCCGGTGTTGGAGCACTCACAACCTCTTGAGGTAATTGATTCCTTTGCTGTAATGCTCTAACAGTTAGGATTTTGCCCTGATATTCAGTTGAAATCTGGCTTCCTTTAACTTGAACCCATTATTGCATGTCCTGCACTCAGAGATGATAGAAAAAGACCCTGCCCCTCCTCTGTATGACATCCTTTCAGATATTTGAAAACTGCTACCATATTTCCCGTCTTTTTTTATCAAGGCTAAACATACCAAGTTCTTTCAGTCTTTTCTCACAGGGCTTGTTTTATAGCCCCCTGATCATCCTTGTTGTGCTTCTCTGAACTTCTTCCAATTTGTCAGCATCCTTATTGAAGTGTGGTATCCAGAACTGGACACAGAACTCAAGGTGAGGACTAACCAGTGCTGAATAGAGGGGAACTAGTACCTCATGAGATTTGGAGACTATACTTTTGTTAATGCATCCTAAAATAGCATTTTCCTTTTTTTGTAGGCACATCACACTGTTGACTCATATTCAGCTTGTGATTTACAGTGACTCCAAGATCCTTCTCGTTCATAGTGTTGCTGAGCCAAGTATCCCCCATCTTGTAACTGTGTGTTTGGTTTCTTTTTCCTAGGTGAAATACTTTGCACTTATTCCTGCTAAATTTCATTCTGAATTGGTTGTTTCATCTTGTTTCTAAAAATTTTAAAAATGTTATATTAAAGTTTTAAATGAGATTTGTTTATCTTGTTCAAATAATTTCATTTTGTGACTGTATAATAGTTATTAGATTAAGCTAACTGTAAGCATATTCTGATCAAATGACAACTAGGTTATCTTCCAGCCTGATTAATCAAGTAATGTTTAGAATATCCAAAGGAAGTTATATCATCATTATTAGGTCAAATTAATTGTAGGTGTAATCTGATCAAAGGACAACTAGCTAATTTTTAGCCTGGTTAATCATGGCAATTTTTAAAGTATCCAAATGAGTTTGTTCCTAATCTTTACTGTCCACTACAGCACGTATGGGACAGAAATGCTTGGGAACATGCAAGATTTTTAAAAAACTTCCCCTTCCTCCTCAAACACCACCAGTTGGGCCCTCCTTCTCAAATAATATGAGTAGCCTTTAGGTTTATTGAGACAGAATTCTATAATTTATTGAGCTATCAGGACCAAATCATTGTTTATCAATATTTCTAACAACACATTTTTCATGTATCCTATAGGGAATGTTGGATGCCACCTATTATTCATAAACTCTGGATTCCTTCTCACCATACTTTTGTATTGTGGAAACTGTTTTCAATGCAGTTGATTCTTCTGCTGCTGAAGTACTGTGAGACGCTTTCTACTGTAATTCATCTTTACACCAGTGTTGCCTTTCCAGAATCTGAGTTGACATTGCTGTGAGGAGAGGTGGGCTGTTCCCCATGACCTGTCATATTTATCTGAGCACAGCAGTTCCATGATCCAAAGAAAAAGGAAAAACAGGACCACAGTGCTATGAACCAAGCTACTGTGTTTTTCCTGAAAATAAGACAGGGTCTTATATTAATTTTTGCTCCAAAAAACGCATTAGAGCTTATTTTCAGGGGACTTTAATTTTTTTTCATGTACAACCATCTACATTCATTCAAATACAGTCATGTCATCTTCTTCTGGTTGCTGCACAGTGGTGGAGGGCCGGGTTTGACTTAACTGGGGCTTATTTTTGGGGTAGCGCTTATATTATGAATGTCCTGAAAAATCATACTACGACTTATTTTCAGGTTAGGTCTTATTTTTGGGGAAACAGGATATCAATTAAGGGAGAACATTTTATTTCAACATAATGTTTATACCATTTTGAACAATGGGTCACAAATTTGACCCCAGTTTTGATAAATGCTTTTATGACATGGTAGATATTTAAATTTCTATTTTCATTAATAAGAAAATTAATGGAAATATAGCTTCATGTTAGATGGTAGGAATGCTGTAGACATAATATATCTTGACTTCAACAAAGCTTTTGACAAAGCGTCCCATGAAATTCTGATTACGACCCTAATTAAGTGTGGGTTGGAAAGAACAACTGTGAGATGGATACACAATTGATTACAGAACTGTACTCACAAGAGTGCTTATAAATAGCTCCCTCTCAAAGTAGGAGTAAGTAAGCAGCAGGGTACCACAATGCTTATTTCTGGGCATGGTGCTCTTCAACATTTGTATAACAATTTGGTTCAAGAGGTGTGGGAAATGCTTGTCAGATTTTTGGGTGACAAAAAAATTAGGTGGAATACTAATACCTGTACTCTTGAAGAAAACATTTCTTTTAAAAAAAGATCTTGATAGGCTCAAACACTCGGCTCAGAAGAACACAAAGAAATTTAACAGGGATAAATGCAAAGTTCTACACCTAGGAAAAAGAAACTAAATGCAGAGTTACAAGATGGGTGAAAGATCTGTTCCCAGTATTTCCAGAGTATAGGATACATAATAATGGGCTCAAGTTACAGGAAGCCAGATTTTAGTTGAATAAGAAAAAGTCATTTTACAAAAAACACAAATGGATACAAAGGCTCTGTGTGTATCTACACAAACGCACATGCAATGTTGTTAATGCTAGATTATATACAATTCACTACTTCTTGCTGAACATTTTCAACACCATGGCATGTTATGTCAGATTATCTATTATACATACGTATTTCCCTTCATTTAGAAAATGTACTTCAGTGCTTGTTAGAAAGACAGATATTTTCTGACATACAGATATATTTATTTTACCTTCAGGTGGAATTGCTTTATTTAATTTCAGAAGTCTTTTGTCACTCATCTTGTGTTTCTCCTCCCACAGATCAATATGAAAAATCACAGACATGCTAAATATGTAGAAAACCACATTTCATCTAATGACCTGAGGGCCTTTGTCTTTGAAATCCAAGAAGATATGGAAGTTTTCCTACGGGAGGCAAGAACTTAAGCATATGATTAAAAAGTGGTTACTGCTGTAGTCTCAAAAATATAATGAGCTGTATCCAGTGCTGTCCTTGTGCCTGTAGAAGTGATTTCTAGTGCCAGTAATTTCTACTGGCACAGCCCCCTGAAAACCTCTAGGAGAGGGATAGAAGGTTCCCTGTAGAAAATGTTTGGCACTGGAGAGGGCTGCGGAGTAAGAGGCCAAAAATCTCTTCGTTATCGCTAGCATCCTTTAGTCCATTCTTTTCAGTGTCACAAAACTAGCATTGTTGTTGTTTAGTCATTTAGTCGTCTCCGACTCTTTGTGACCCCATGGACCAGAGCACGCCAAGCCCTCCTGTCTTCCACTGCCTCCCGGAGCTGGGCCAAATTCATGTTGGTCGCTTCAATGACACTGTCCAACCATCTCATCCTCTGTCATCCCCTTCTCCTCTTGCCCTCACATTTTGCCAACATCAGGGTCTTTTCAAGGGAGTCTTCTCTTCTCATGAGCTAGCCAAAGTATTGGAGCCTCAGCTTCAGGATCTCTCCTTCCAGTGAGCATTCAGTGTTGATTTCCTTTAGAATGGATAGGTTTGTTTTCCTTGCAGTCCAGTGGACTCTCAAGAGTCTCCTCCAGCACCACAATTCAAAAGCATCAATTCTTTGGCGGTCAGCCTTCTTTATGGTCCAGCTCTCACTTCCGTATATCACTACAGGAAAAACCATAGCTTTGACTATTCGGACTTTTGTTGGCAAGGTGATGTCTCTGCTTTTTAAGATGCTG